TGCACAGCCTGTTAAAGTGCTGAGATTATATTTCCCACAATATGCAGCCTTGTGTTTTCATTTAGACAGGGTTGTACATGTAAGTTTTTTGTCAGGGGTGGAGAAAATTTTCAAAATTTACCATTAAATTACATGTTGGGCTATAGCTAGTACAAATTTTCAAAATCTGTAACAAATGCATAGAGTTTGACTCTATTTACATGATTATGTACACATTCATAGAATCTATTTACTCACAGACTGTATAAATCTCTATTTACACACTCGGGGAATCTCTACAAACTCATCGGCTATTTTCACAATCTTTTGACACACAGAATCTCTATCTATACACTCAGATAATCTCTAGATATTTAAAGAATCTTTATATTTACACACTCTAAGAGAATCATTTGATCAAAGACTTTCTATAAACACTCACAAAATCTCTGTTATGCATTCAGAGAACCTATATCTACACATCCAAAGAATTTCTATTCAAATATCCAGAGAATCTGACTATTGGCATACTCATGAGAGTGTAAACTATATTTACATACCAATAGATCTAGCCTATATTTATATTTACACATCCAGAGTGTATCTGTTCTCATGTAAAAATTACATCTACATTTATACCAGGAGTTTTCTAAGAAATAAGAAATACATATAAGCAAGTATTATGTTCAGTATTTAAGACATATTTCATACATCAAACACAAAGGCTGTGACCTGGTAACATCAGAACTAACATATACACATTATATAAGTAAATCATTGTTAGTTTCAGTGATGTCAAATTATCTAGACCAGTTGGGCAGCTCATTAGTGATAGTATAATATATCTGATAGTACTAAGTTTTGAAGTTATACACATGTAAACTGTAGCAATCTTAGACTTTTAAGTGCAAAATTATCTTTGCACCCTGCAGCTGGCAATGGCCGACGTATCATGTGAATTTTAAATAACATGTTAACAATGGTCCTGTATCGGGGAGATACAACTAATGAAAAGTAGAACACTTAAAAAACTACATTAAACAAATGGACACGCAATGATTGCTCTCTTCCAATTGAAATGATTGTTATTCTACTCATTGAATCCTTTCATACTGCTCTAACAAGCAAACAGACTGTCCAGCTAGGACCTGCCAGCTGATGTAATGTTTTCTTGATGATGATATAAACATGTGATAAACATAGCTTTGTCTTTCCAAGACTTCACAGGAATAATTAAGCACTTGTGGTACATCACAGTTCACATTACATCATGCAATTCAATTGCTTTGCAATATTTGTTAACATTCATAGCCAATTCCCTAACAAGAATCACTTAAGTGCAAACATAAACAACACTATAGCAAAAACAAATAAAAGCAAAGGTCTAACACAAGCTTAATAAAGCAACTCAGCATAACTCCCTAAAGGGGGAGAAAATTTCATGAAAAGTGGAGGTGCACATCCTCATATTGATCATGATGCTGTGTACCATTTCAAACTGAATTGGCGTAGTGATGGGCAATCAGTTTAAAATCATAATCGATAATCGGAAGTAGTAAACCGATCAAGATAATAGTTTGAAGATTGTTTACCTAATATATAGTAACATACACTCCAACTGAGCTGTATTTGGAAAGAGTTCTGATTCGGTGTTGGTCATATCAACTCTGGCCACCTTTAGGAACTCTTTTGCATACAGAGCCAGAAATATTGTATTTGGGTAGGTGAACTATGATGACAGGGGAAAGGGGTGAAGGGAACGGGGGAGGGTGAAGTTAAAAACATGCTGACATAATCTATGGCCTAACAAAGGGAGTATCACTGATTGCCTTCTTGGCATTATAATACTTATGCAACCATTAATGTCTAACGGATAAGCTTTCATAATGTATCTTGCATGTACCTTGTATATGAATGTTTGATAATTACATGGTACATGTATATCATTGTTCGTACTAGCATAAATAGGCTTTAATATAGCTTTAAGGGGTCCCTTTGTAGTTTTCTTGCTTTAATTTGATATGGAGATGTGAAGAGTTACTCAAATGAATTATTCAAAATACCACATTGTAATAATTATTTATGTAACATATATAGCTATCTAAAGGTTTAACAGGGGAATAGACTACATTTTATATAGATGAGGATTGTGTATAAAAGATGAATATGACAATATCTTCATCACTTTCATACATAAAATATAATATATATTTGTTGACCTAATTATTTGTTTCTGTTCCAATCTTATAAATCTTATTTTTTGTGAAGTTTACAGTTTATGTTGTCCATTTCTCATTTTGTATAAATGAACTATAATATAAATACATAGTATAGAATCACCAGTTTCTAACCCTGAAACTGTCAAACATAAAATCAAATCGAAGCAACATGAAACGTTATTCCCCTGACGGTCATTTTGCCATCACTTTCACATACTTCACAATGACAACTAAATAAATCTTTTTGTTGACATTAAATAGCACCATTATGTGCCTAGTTTTGGTGAAGTTTATTTATAGCACACACTGTACATACTATGATACCACTACAGTTCAAATCTATGGAAATATTTCTAGAAAATGTTGTTGTTGGTGTTTTTTTACATTTTTATAGATCTGCTACAGTTTTTAATTACAATTACATTTACTAAAAAAAAAATGTGGACATCATACATTTGGACAGTGATTGTACAATGGCCAGATCACCCCAGCCAAGTAATTTGGGTAAACACAAAATGGAGAGTTTGGCATACCAAAACCTGATGAAAAAAATACATGTTTCCATGTGTTTTTCTATTGTATACCAATCTGATATAAAGGTAATAGTAATTTACTTTTCCACAGCTACACAGGTAATTATTTAAAATATACATACTCATACAAGGCTTAATTAATAATTACATGGTCACTGGTCTTCTCATACAGCTACTTAAATGTTGTCTGTAGCGTAGTAGAGCATGCAATTTGTATGACCAGGTTAGATCCCACAACGCATGGTTTATTATACAGCGATTTTGCTTTGACTGTCAATTGCAATGTGACAGGTAAATTCCAGCTTTCAATAATTAAAATTTCTTGTGGACACATGTTAATTTAGTATTTGTAGTGAAACTATAACATTAGTGCAGGCAAATTCGCCATGCACCCGAATTCGCCATGCATCCAAATTCGCCACCCTGTGACGAAAAATGCCATATGACGTCATAATACATAAGATGTGACGTAAATAACGTCACCATAGTCTTCAACACAGTTAAAGCCTTAAAACATTTTGACAAGAAGAGGTATAAGAAGGGAAAAGTTATTTTATTTATCAAAACAGTTCCAAAATATCTTGTAACGCAACAAATCTTAAAAATTTGGTCTGTGCGACTGACATTTCATCAACTAAACTCAACAATCTGAGGCCTGTTGGTTGTGATTTAGTATAAATGCATCACATACAAATTGAAAAAACCCATATCTCAATGCTTATTGCAGTTTCATGGTCGACTGAGCCGTCAATGCAAGTAATCTGTTTTTCTACAAGTGTACTTTGGTACCATGTATACTGACGACCCAATGTTTATGGAAATGACGCTCGGAAAGATTTGATACCAGGTAATTCATTTTTCATTTTCATGCAATATGTATTTAGAAATCAATCAATCAGTATATTTTAGAAATATTGTTTGCGTCTAACATTCAGCCATCTTACAACACTTTAATTAAAACACCATCTAGAAATTTTCTAGATTTATATTTGAAAAGAATGTGTTGTCGGCCTGAAAGTATGAGTACATGTACTGCTGTACAATCGCTGATGATTACTTTAAGAGACAGACAGTTACCAAAGACTGATTTTTACATGAAAAAGTAAGTTCACCTGGGGCAGTCTCTGTTGAATAAGTTTTCAAGCCCAAGAATTGAATGTCAGATATGTTTCCTGTTGACGTGCAAGACGATCGGAGATGCTACATGCATGTGACAAATTATCCAAAGGACGGGGGACTTTAGACGACAGTTGAAAGCCCTAGCAAGACCCTCCCATCCGCATCTGATGATTTTTTTGATTTTTTTCTTACTCAAACAACGTTAATCAGTTTCTTCAAGAAACCGAAAATTAACTATCACAACTAAGAAAAGCCATTTATTTCAATGTTAAACATTGTTTCACGCACACATTTGGAGCTGTTCATATCAGTACGACTTTTGTAACATAAATATACAAAATGTGTTATTTTAAAACAGTACTTGCAAATAAGTGATATGTTGGAATGTGGCGAAACTGCCTGCACCTTTGAGCAAATCCACAGTAGGTCTGATGACGTCGCACTTGTTGCTGCGTGACGTCATTCAGGCGTATTTGCAGCAATGTTTATTTATAGGCATTTCAGTCAAATCTTCTTCTGTACTGGTGCTCATTGGCATTTTGATACATGTGTATTTGGAAAAATTATTAACTAAAACCCTTACTAATATATGACAAATTTGCCTGCACTTACGTTAGTGATTAGGAAGGCAGCACAACACTAGCCATTTTCCTGTTTTTCTACCACTTCAATGTGACATCTAAATCAGTAATCAACTTATTTTAAAGGCCTCTTCCCTTAGTCACTAGGCCATATAGCCCATTACATGTATATCAAGAAGTAGGCAAATGTCCTATGTACCCGTATTGATATTAATGTAAAACCATGATGTGTCATTGTTCAGGAAACCTCCGCAACTATTCTTAATCAAGTATAACAATTCACATACCTACGCACACCTCCATTTACTTTTGAACATTCATAACAATACTTGATGTCTTATGTAAAGAATTTCTTCAGTACAGTTCTGACAGTTGATAGTGTCAACTTTAATTTGTATTTCTCAAGTAGACATACAAACATCTGGACGTGATATCTACTTTAAAATTATGTTTTCCATTTGATAAAGTCAGTTGTTTTAAATCCCGAGCTAGGATGTAACAAATGAGTATTTGGTGTCGTACAACTTCGTTTATTGAACGACGTTCAAATTGTAAACAAATCTACTCACCTGCCACCGGAGAGGGTTTCTTCAGTACACACCATCGGGCCTTCCACTGTAAAAGGACAGACAGAACGAGCAATAATAAATTTATGCCACAAACAACAGCCAACATTAAATTACACTATGACAATTTGCACGGTATGATTACCTTTTTCCCATCTCTAAACTTCACGTTTTCCTCCACAACAGAGTTCACGTCAGCCATCTTGATCCCATGTTTTTGAAGCACTGAATGAAGTAGTGCATTCTGATTGGTCAATTAATAAGGGAGGGTACAAACTTGCAGTACTTGGCCTACCGTAGGCGTAGTAAAGTTTACTCCTGATTTGATACCGACTATTCGGGCCTTAGTTAGCCTACCTAACAGCGGAAATCATGACCAATACAGGAAACCGCGAGCGTTTTCATATTCAATGTGGTTACGGTTGTAGACTTTTTAAAACATCACGATGACGTTAGCGTTTCAATAAAAAAAAAATATTTACTGTTATAAGACCATTTTCAACCAAATTTGCTAAGACCGCGCTCGTGAAGGTCTAATTTGATATAGCTATAAGTATGTGATACACAGAGGCACGGACTTAGAATCTAATTCCGTGACAGAGCCAGAGGCGAGCGCTTGAGGTGATTTTACTGTATTTATGTATTACATCAACCACTAGATTAGTAGTGTATTTCATCGAAAAAAGACACAGAGCTCTTGGAATGAGGATGGGTTTTAAATTGTAAAACCAATCATTAGTCAATATGATGACTCGTCCCTTCGCGCTTGAGTCAGTCTAGGTGACGTCATCAATTTTATGATGTCACTATTATTCATTCAAAACTTTTTGGATTGTTTGGCAATTTTTTAAAGTTTATTATCGGGCGGTCAAAGTTGAGAAGCAGGAAATGCCCGTTATCAGCCCTTTTCCTATGGAACGTCAAATTTACATATATTCAAATAATTGCACCTATATGGTACGATTCAATTGAAGATACATTAATTCAATTGGATACATTAATTCAATTGAAGATAGGTGCTGTCGGTATTTATATTTTTAGTTATTTCCCACGGTAAAATATACCGTTAACAATGCAACAATTCAATTAAACAATAACTGGTTGACAACCAGGTATTTTTTATATTTACATATTTTTCTTTTTTAAGACATATTCCTACAAAAACCATTCGCCCTGCCTCAAAATACATTTCAGGCGGCCATTTTGTTTGTTTACATATTCCTACACCTGAAACAGGCAGTTGTAATTATAGTCGAGCAGTTGTAATTATAGCCTATATAATTACACTTGCCCTCTAACACTGTTGTAATGGGACGGCGCGGGGGCAAATGTAAATATATTATAATAAAGCATTTCAAAGAACTTATTTTTTGCGTTGTTAGCCAACCTTAATAAAAATGAACACCGTAATTATACGGTATAATTCTGTCAACTTTCTAACATATTTATTTGGATATTTGCATGGAGATGTCAATAATATTTTATTCGAAAATATCAACCATTGTCTTTTATGTTTCTCATGTATTACTTGGAGTAGTAATCCCAAGTAGCCTGGCGTTGAACATTCTCAAATTGTTGTATCTGTTGTGCCTGGTAAGGGTTCCCAGCATTACTCAAGGAAACGCCTGATAAGTGTTTATTGCGCCTTCTAACAGAAATATTTACAACCCAACGTTAGCAAAACAGGAGGGAGAAATTGATGGTCAGACTAGGATTTTTGAGCCCATGAATTCCGAACTCTGGTAGCTCTATTGGTAGACTGTCAATCCACAGTAGAGTTCGGAATTCCCGGGTCCGATGTCACCCATCAAATATATTCTGACCGTTTAATCAATTTTATCAATTTTTGAGATATTTGCATTCTGCAATGATTCTGAGAAATGGTAATTAATTCTGCAGCAGAGGAGAGAGCGGCTGTTAGTTCTCTCCGACACCATGGTACTTAACAATTGAATGTTCTAGGCAGTTCCAGTCTATCGTAGCCCTAATTATTTTTCTGTATTGCTTTGTCTTTAAATCTGGTTGCACAATGTTATATCCGCTCGATGGTATTTTATATATGTGAATGGGGCTGCGGTGGCCAAGTGGTCAATGCGTCTGCCATTCTGCTACCACTAGCCCTTCACCACTGGTTCGCGGGTTTGATGCCTACATTGTACGTGGGCAGTCACCACGTACTGCAATCGGGAACCGTCGGCACTTTCCGTAAACGAGAAAATACCTCGGGAGTAGAAGGCGGAGTAATACAGACAAATTTTGTCCAAAAAGGTCTTCCGGTGTAAGGATCAACAAGTAAGTCGCCGGTGTACTTCTATACAATATGGCGGACTTCGATACATGTGTGGAGTATGCGAAAACACAAATCTATTTTCAACATCATCTGAAGGAAAAGCAGCTTGATACGCTTCGAAATTTATATGAAGGACGCGATGTCGTGAGTGTTCTCCCTACTGGCTATGGTAAAAGTGTTATTTTCCAGTTGCTGCCCTGGATGTTCCAGCGAAAGCATAACTCTGCAACGCCTTATATCAATGATATTGTCCTGATAATTTGCCCATTGAACAGCATTATGGAGGACCAAGTGATGGGGTTACGAGAAAAGGGAATATCTGCATGCTATATGTCGGGTGCATCAAGCAAAACATTTATGACGGAGGGGGAGTTTGACGATGACAATTCCGAAGACATTAACCCTGACGAAGACGGAATTTTGGAATTGACGATAAAAGACGTTTCATTTAAAGACATAGCGGACGGAAAATACAATATCATATATGCCCACCCAGAATCCGCCCCCCATCGCCATCATTCTAAGTATTATGTTCTTCGGGGGGGGTATATGTAGGTCAGTATGATATGATCTTATTAAAAGGAACGGTAACAAGATCCAATATTTTCATTTATTCATTGTACTTGTAGCTGTAGTTTCTCAAAAAAGTGACATCTAAATTCTTTGCCTTACTATTTCAGTGGAGTGTGATTATCAATAGCAGCATGTTTTGTTTTATGCAGGTTGTGTGACATATAACTAAACCATTTTTGGTGGTGTACACAAATGATTTTTTTCAAGAAATTTTAGTGCAAGCATATATACAATCACATTCACACCATCAAACCCATGTCGACAATGCTTCATTTTTACCCGAAGCAAATCTAAACTACAAGTTCATGCTGACTGCTGGCACTTGTTTGACATTTTAATACCATTTATCCAATTTAGAAATAAGCAATGACACTGACAGAAAGAACTTAAGCATCTTCAATCAAACCTTGATAACCAATAAATATCTTTCATCATCATCATCATTTTACTACATCATTGTGATACAATAACAGGGCTTTCATTACACACTCTAGAATACATGTATTTGACTCCTCAAAGTGATCATTGATTTGTAGGTTTGAAATATGGCATGTCTTTCTGACTTACATATATATATATATCGACCTTTCAAATTTCAGCGAAAAGATTATTTGACTTTTGAAATTTCCAAATAAATCAAGGATTAATTGAAAGTCATGCAACACTATAAAGCTGAAAAAAACAATGTGTCTATATACATCTTGCTTGTAATATTTGTGTCACCTTGGACTACTGATTATGTTTTAACTAATATGAGGAGACCACACAAAACAATGCAACTCTTCACAAGTCTTTTCCAGAGTTGGAACATTAATATTACATATACATATGGTTAAGTTGTAATATCGCTAGGGAATACATTTGGCGAAATCATTACCATATTTTCGAGGAAAAGTCCCCACTTGGACAGTTGTATTTCCAGAATTTCAAATAAGTTCCCTCCTATCCACTGAAATTTCCCCCTGGTCCAAATGTATCTCCTAGTGTACATGCTTGGCAAATTCTGCATATATATATATATACACACACACACATACACATTTATTATATATACACTCAGATGCAAAATATAATCAAACATGATGTAATATACAAATTCTTGAAATGTGAATGTGTCAGTTTTTTTCTGCACTGGACATGTACACCAATTTCAGTTCACTGTAAACAAATTCAACCTTTTGTGGATAATATTTTGAGGACAGAAAACAGAACAATTGGATCAATTTTGAAACCATGACTGTTTTGGTTTGACTGTCGGTCATCAGGTTCGATTCCTGAGGGTCATTCTAAAAGGTCCGTTTTGTTCTGGTTTTCAAAAAAACACCACCTTCACCTGAAATCTTAATCAATATTTTATTCATCTTAGTATGATTGTATTATTTCTATTAAAAAAAGGTTTACATCAAGAAGCTCAGACATATGGTGTATAATTTAATGTGGAAATTATTTTATTCAGTGCAGCAAATACTGTAGTATTAACACAATTCTTAATATATTAAATTTGTGATGGCTCCAAAACTCACTTTCCACAAGAGTAAACAAAGCACTGTACATGTATAAGTATTGATATATATCTCAATCCAACAGAAATGATTTAAGAATTAATATGATAACTAATATAAGTTGACCACACATTTACAGGGGAGAGGAGTTCAGACCAAAGTTCAAGAAGTTAG